CTGTAAAGTTGCCACAGTTCGCCCAAGGGAAAGTTTGTAGGCTCTCAGCTAGCTTTCCAGCTCGGTGCGAGGTCGTGGGTAGGGTACAATCGCACTGATTCGTTATGTCAATAAACCGAATTGTCTTGTTGCCACGTTCTATGACAAAACCTATCCTGCAAGAAAAACATACTTCTCTAGCGTCTTTTTATTTGATGAAGACGGATTCGTAGTAATCTTGTAGAGCAGAAAGTAAATTCGTAAAAATACAAGTAAAAGAATGCTACCTAGTGGTCCTGAAAAAAACAGCAAAAGCATGGGAACAAGCACCAGGCAAATTTGACTTTCAATATCTATACTTTGAGACGTTTAACGACTAACATAGGCCTGTTTGTTTAACGGTCGACGGTAAAAATGTTGCTTTTTTGACGGTTGATGGTTAATATTTTGGCCATATAACGGTTGACGGTTAATCCCATTGAGATCCTCTTATTAGGCTGATTAAAGTTCATCAAAATTCTATGGTTGCTGTAAGTTCTCAAATTTCAATTTGCTCGTTGAAATTAGAGAAAACATCTCCTGTCTCCGTAAGAGAGTAAGGTTGCAAGCTAAATGAGATCCGCGCGGAACTTCACTGACTGTTAACAACAAGGTGAGACTGTCTGGTTGCATTATACGTTGTAACATTTCCTTCCCTGTCTTCTTTTTATTAGTGCTTTTATTATTGCAAATTTTTGCTTCTTTTTATGAGTTCTTTTATTATTGCAAATTTTTGCTCCGCCGAACAAAACCTCTTTTGATCTAACAATCTCGGATCAGGGAGAAGGATTTTTTTAGAAGGGATTAGGTAACACTGATATGCAATGTCATATACAACTATAGCATCTAGGCATGAACCATTCGGCGGTCCTTCAGGTACTAGGCATTAATAGATTGTGCTCGGCAACTTTTGAGCAACTTTTAGCGTTTTCAGCAACTTTTTGTATTGCGAGCTCCGGTTAGCAACCTGGAGCAACTTTTGCCTTCCCTGGCAATTTTTGAGTCAACAAATAGTTAAAAACTGACCAAACCATCAAAAAAGTCTTGATCCAAAGGTTTTTTATTAGAACTGGTCGAAACTAAGGATGTCGTACATTCTTACAAATAATTCATAAAATAACACGTGCGCCCACAAACTGAACAGCAGCTATCTATCTAACGGGCGCTTACATCCAGTGGATATTCGCTCCAACAATAGAGCTTCCCGAGCGTGCAAGGTATCACAATTAGAAGCTGAAATGTCTGACGAGGAAAATGAAAATAGTACAGATATTGACCCCACCGAAGTTACCATAGCCGCTGGAGAAACTCTCAATAGTCCTGCAGGAGCTTCAATTTCTAGAAAGCGCAAAATTCACGTCGACGAAGGCAAATACAAACAACGAAGAGCGGTTTCTCGACCTCGTCCTCAGGGAAAGGAAACGCAACATGCGCTGGGGATCTTGTGAATGACTATCCAAAACGTTATTAGAGAATACTTTCCATTAGTAGTTACGTTGAGATTATATTGATCAAACCAAATGGTGTTAAATTACACATACAAATTCATGTTTTCAGTAGTAATCTAGAAGAATATATAAGAACGATCCTTCGCAGTAAAGCACTATTTGAGCAATAGTGGAAATCAGACCTGAAAAAAATTTCAGGCCTGTACGGGATTCGAACCACTGACCTCTGCGATACTAGTGCAGCGCTCTACCAATTGAGCTAACAAGCCAACTGGGAGCAGGCCATCAAATTAATTCGATATAAACCCGTAGATGATAAATCGAACAACAACAAACATATGAAACATATGAGTGAACTGCGGTTATGAGACGTATATAAGAACGATCCTTCGCAGTAAAGCACTATTTGAGCAATAGTGGAAATCAGACCTGAAAAAAATTTCAGGCCTGTACGGGATTCGAACCACTGACCTCTGCGATACTAGTGCAGCGCTCTACCAATTGAGCTAACAAGCCAACTGGGAGCAGGCCATCAAATTAATTCGATATAAACCCGTAGATGATAAATCGAACAACAACAAACATATGAAACATATGAGTGAACTGCGGTTATGAGACGTATATAAGAACGATCCTTCGCAGTAAAGCACTATTTGAGCAATAGTGGAAATCAGACCTGAAAAAAATTTCAGGCCTGTACGGGATTCGAACCACTGACCTCTGCGATACTAGTGCAGCGCTCTACCAATTGAGCTAACAAGCCAACTGGGAGCAGGCCATCAAATTAATTCGATATAAACCCGTAGATGATAAATCGAACAACAACAAACATATGAAACATATGAGTGAACTGCGGTTATGAGACGTATATAAGAACGATCCTTCGCAGTAAAGCACTATTTGAGCAATAGTGGAAATCAGACCTGAAAAAAATTTCAGGCCTGTACGGGATTCGAACCACTGACCTCTGCGATACTAGTGCAGCGCTCTACCAATTGAGCTAACAAGCCAACTGGGAGCAGGCCATCAAATTAATTCGATATAAACCCGTAGATGATAAATCGAACAACAACAAACATATGAAACATATGAGTGAACTGCGGTTATGAGACGTATATAAGAACGATCCTTCGCAGTAAAGCACTATTTGAGCAATAGTGGAAATCAGACCTGAAAAAAATTTCAGGCCTGTACGGGATTCGAACCACTGACCTCTGCGATACTAGTGCAGCGCTCTACCAATTGAGCTAACAAGCCAACTGGGAGCAGGCCATCAAATTAATTCGATATAAACCCGTAGATGATAAATCGAACAACAACAAACATATGAAACATATGAGTGAACTGCGGTTCACTCATATGGCTAACAAGCCAACTGGCCTGCTCCCAGTTGGCTTGTTAGCTCAATTGGTAGAGCGCTGCACTAGTATCGCAGAGGTCAGTGGTTCGAATCCCGTACAGGCCTGAAATTTTTTTCAGGTCTGATTTCCACTATTGCTCAAATAGTGCTTTACTGCGAAGGATCGTTCTTATATACGTCTCATAACCGCAGTTCACTCATATGTTTCATATGTTTGTTGTTGTTCGATTTATCATCTACGGGTTTATATCGAATTAATTTGATGGCCTGCTCCCAGTTGGCTTGTTAGCTCAATTGGTAGAGCGCTGCACTAGTATCGCAGAGGTCAGTGGTTCGAATCCCGTACAGGCCTGAAATTTTTTTCAGGTCTGATTTCCACTATTGCTCAAATAGTGCTTTACTGCGAAGGATCGTTCTTANCAGGGATATAATTTAGGACCCCTGCTCTTCTTGATCTACTTAAATGAAATGCTTGGTGTCGTTTCAGGTCAGTGGTTCGAATCCCGTACAGGCCTGAAATTTTTTTCAGGTCTGATTTCCACTATTGCTCAAATAGTGCTTTACTGCGAAGGATCGTTCTTATATACGTCTCATAACCGCAGTTCACTCATATGTTTCATATGTTTGTTGTTGTTCGATTTATCATCTACGGGTTTATATCGAATTAATTTGATGGCCTGCTCCCAGTTGGCTTGTTAGCTCAATTGGTAGAGCGCTGCACTAGTATCGCAGAGGTCAGTGGTTCGAATCCCGTACAGGCCTGAAATTTTTTTCAGGTCTGATTTCCACTATTGCTCAAATAGTGCTTTACTGCGAAGGATCGTTCTTATATACGTCTCATAACCGCAGTTCACTCATATGTTTCATATGTTTGTTGTTGTTCAATCTAGAAGAAATGACTCCCAAAAGTAAGCAGCTTCTTCTAAATTTGGGTGGCAACTTTTAAATTTTTGAGCAACTTTAAAGTAACTTTTGGATGTATCGTCATGTAAATTTTGCGGGATTTCCTTGCACAAACTATTTATGCCTGATATACAACCTCTAGACGAGTTTTTAGCGCCGTTGTTCCGAGTGCAGATTTAGGCATTTCCCGTTTGTGCTCGTAAAATCCTGGGAAGTTGCCGACTGGAATTTCCAAATGGTTGCTAAAAAAAACTGCCAAAATCCCAAAAGTTGCTGCGCAAATTTGAAAAGCTTTTACCTAAATTTCTGGATTTTTTTGGAATAAAAGTTAATTAAAACTTAATGTTTCGATCTTCGCAATAGTCACTAAAATCACTCGAGAAAAATGGTTTAAAACTTAGTTTTAAAGAGTTGCACGTAAATAGAGGCGAAATTGAAGGATATTCTTGACTAAAGTTTAATGGAACAAAAGTCATTCTTCACTTGGCTTCTTGTCGAACGAAACGATGTCAAATAACAGGTTATGTGTTCAAAAGGTTGATAGACATTCAAGAAATTTACATAAGTTGAAGTTTCCGATGAAATCGTTGACTGTTTCTTGCTTAATTGATATGAGCTTTATGTTGAGAAAACATTTCCCAGATATACGAATGAAAAAAAAATTTCACTAATACTAGAATCGCTAAAAGTTCTTCCAAACGCCAAAAGTTGCTTAAAAGTTTCCGAGCACAATGGGGACAAGCCTTGCAGGTAACAAACAACTTGAAAAAGAATAGAAAACGAAAAAACCAAGTTTATGCATGAAACAGATATTTACATATATTTAAGGAGGCCTTAACCAGGTGTTTATCATTTTCGATCCATTTCTTCAGATTAAATAGAAATAGAAAGGGGCGTTCTTTTCATTACAGTTTACCGAAAAGCAGTAGTTCAAGTTGTCGTGCTAAAAATATGATCACGGAAGAAAAGTTGGAATTCACAAAGCTACAGCCTGGCATCGGTTATTAACTGTTTTCCTTTTTCTATGTTTTCAAACTCAATTTCTCTTTGTTTTAAAACGATAGATGAAGTAGTGTGAGAGGAATGCATTAACAAAAACATTTTTACGAGTGCGTCCCAAGAGTAGAAAAAATAAAGGCTAATGAACAAAAATAATGTTTTGTTTTGTCAATAATGATCAGGCCGAATTCGAACACGTTCGCAGCGTTTTGGGCTTCAGTCAAATTTTCACTCACCTGGCGTTATCTTTTATAATACAGAATCCCAAAATTATTCATTGAGGCTATTTTGTGTTCATTACACTTTACCAAAAAGCAGTGGCTCAAGCTGTCAGGCTAACATTTCATTAAGGCTAGGGAGAGAATTCAGGTGTAGGTTCAGAGGTTCGGAGTTTTTTAGATTTAAACTATAGCTTCAAAACATCGACCAACGACATCGAGATAGAAACTTACCAGCAGGTGGTGGCTAGCATCAAAACACGCTGTAAAAGGCTGAGTGTTTATATGCCTTTAAAGGTAAGGGACTTTACTTGTTGTGAAGTGAGGGTAAAGGGTAGAAACCCGTTTTCATTATGAGCCATAAAAATACTTAAATCTTATGACGATCTCTGCACAACAATCGCTCGAACAAGAGAGAAATGAAGAGAAAAACCCCATAAAAGTAGATTCTCTACATCTATGACACCCATATTTTGTTATGGGAAATTTTTTGTTAGTTTAGAGTCACTTGCATACAATATTACCAATTTTTCATACAATATAACAGAGATACAAGAAGTCTGTGCCAAAGGGCGCTCTGATCTATCTTGCATTTTCTCTAAACCCACTGTATACTTGATGGCTTTATAAAAGTATACTGACGCACGAACCAATTATTGTTCTTACAAGAAAGATGCTGTGGCCAAGTTTTTGCCTCTTTATCCCGGTTCTTTTCGTGGAGTGCGTATCTGCTAATGAACAGTGCAAGGTGGAGATCAATATCCAAGGCATGAGACTTGAAAAGTTCGTCTTCAAAAGGATGTCAGCATCAGCTCCCTATATCTGTGATATCTGATGTGGACAAGAAATCACCTGCCAAAGCTACAACTACAATAGAAAGAAGGAGATCTGCGAACTAAACAACCGCACCAAAGAGGCGAGGCCTGAAAACTTTCGCTCGTCCCCTGATTGTTTTTATATCAGGCGTTTGAATGGAAGAGGTATGTATTCATCTGATTAAGTGAGATGGCCTTACTTGTTCGCACGTTAAATAGTTTCTCGTCTCAGTCAGCAAGCATTTTCACCAATAACAGCCCTCAGGTGAGAATTTTTTTCAAGAAAATAGCAAGCGGGACTAATTTCTATCCTTGAAACACTTTTTTTTCGCGTTTTACCAAGAGAATATAAGTAAACTGTTTATATTATCTTGGTTATACGCGAACGGCTATGTATTGTCGTGGGTGGAGAGAAGAGAATATAAGTTAAACTGTTTATAGTATCTTGGTTATACGCGAACGGCTATGTATTGTCGTGTGGTGGGCAACTTTGACAGCTGCTTCTTTCTGAAATCCACAGTTTTTAACAACTCCCATATTTAGGTCAACTGTTGAGTGAGATTTTTCCAGGAAAGTAATCTAACCGCTTCTGCGTTGTTTGACAGAAATGAAAGTGTGAGAAAAAACTACTTGAATACGAGAAAACTAAAAGTTATTCATAAATATTATTTCCCGGTAATATTTGCATATTCTAGAGTTTTTTTCCATTGTTCTTGACAATGTTATAATTACTAATTCACCTTTAGTTATTCGAGGAAAGTAAAATTATATTTTAAAGTCAATAGTCCATCAAATCTATGCTCATCCTCTTAAGTTTCTCACCTTTTCCAAGAAAAAAACTTTTAAGAAATTAACCAGGTAGTTACCTACGGAATTTATTCTTCAATCTTTTATCTATTGCAGTACCTTTGGGTTCCATTGTCGAATTACCAGCACTATCTTGCCAAGAAATAAAAGCAAGTGAGGGAAAAGATGCCATTAGCAATAAGTACTGGCTGAATCCAACTGGTAATGGAAAGACACAGTTAATGTATTGTGATATGAATTTAGGAACTGGAGGTAAGCCTATTTCGTTTGATCTCAGCCTATTTTCGTCAAATATTGTTTTTCAAACGTTCGGATTATCTCTGTTGATTACTAGTTTATCTATTCTTACATTATTTATAAATTATCTTCCAGACATCGATGAATGCAAGAGTAATATCTTGCTCTGTAGCGTCAATGCAAACTGTTCAAACACTTACGGCTCGTATAAATGCACGTGCAAGGAGGGATACAATGGAACTGGATATGAATGTAGAGGTACGATGAACTTACCTCGCTTTATGTAAAATTTTCCCATTTGTTCATTTATTCTCTGCAAGAGAGGATATTGGTAATGGACAAGGTCTGATGCTTAGGCGTTTCTATATTTTCAAATACTCACCCAGATATCGATGAATGCAGAAATGGCAGCCACCTTTGTGACGCAAATGCCAATTGCATCAACGTCAATGGCTCCTATAACTGTACATGCAAGAAAGGTTTTTTGGGAGATGGTCAGATATGTTCAGGTATGTTTTTTTCTGAGAAAAAACAAAAAAAAAAAAATTCAATGAAATAAAGCTGGCTAGAAATAGTCTTTCCACAGCGGACTTATTTGCATTTGTCCTGTAGATATTGACGAATGTGTAAATGGCAGCTTTATTTGTGGTGTGAATGCGACCTGTGTAAACACCAATGGCTCTTATGGCTGTACTTGTAAGGAGGAAGAATCAGTAGGAGATGGAAGTGCTTGTTCAGGTGCGTTACGTGTGCTCAGTAAAAGGTATTACATTTGGTTACTGTACAAGTATTATGCTCGAAGAGAAAGAAGAACAATGTTAATAAAGGAGAGCTTTCCCAGCGACCAGATCATTGCTCTCTACCTTCAGGGCAACAATAATACAGTGTTGATGTCCGAACCGCGACAAAAGCTTCCCACTGGTATATATCTGCCCCATGATATAATCTGATATTTTTCATAACGGGGTGAAAACTGTGTTTCATCATCGTAACCAAATTCGTTAAGGAAGCAATTTGAACCTTTGGAATTTTCTAAATGATATGATACCGTCAGCTTTACTGTCCAAAGATAGGTAAGTCGTTCTTCATGTCAGTGACTTCTATTTAGACGAATTCGACTCAATGGTAGGCTATTTTCTCCAAAAATCGTGCCCAGTCTAGGTGACGGTGAAGTGCTAGATGGAGTAACATATACATGAAAAATTGCCAGTCTCTTGGGGCAAAGTATTCAAACTGTCTTAACTAGCAGTTGCATCAATTGGAGACAAAGAAAGAAAACTAAGGTTTCGGAACATAGCATTTTCAGCTTAATAAACGCGTCCATTGGAGTGGACTTAAAAATGGGCTGTAAATTGTTTGCTTTCCTCTTTGACGGGTAACTCGCCGCTGGTTCTCACACCTTGATCAGTGCACGTTAAAAATCGCACGGTACAATCACAAAGATGCCTGACGAGCTTGTTTTGTTATTTGCAAACCAAATAGGTGAGGAATGCCGATCCATTATTTTCAAAGAACCCCTACTGGAAAAAGTCATGAAAGGCCATCTGATCAGGATTGTAGAGGTGCTCCATCAAAGCAGCTGTAATGTGCTGTGTTATATGGAGCCCAATTGTGTGTCCATAAATCTTGGGCCTTCACAAGGAGGGAACTACCTTTGTGAGTTGAACAATGCTTCGAACGAAAGTCCAAGCTCGTCCGACCTTCAGAGTAAAGAAGATTACATCCATCTCAGTATAGAGGTAAAATTACTTATTTTAGACAATGAACAATTATTGTGGGCTATCAGTTTGTCAGATTGCTTCCTAGACTAGCCTTGCAATTCTTGTACATTTATTGAATTGATGGTGGAGAAAAAAAAAAAAAAACAGTTCGACAACTTTTATATAAATATGAGGAATCGCATTGGAGAATACTAAAGCTAGGGTATACCAATCGTGTTCACCTTAGTGTTAAAAAAAGATAACAATAAGATAGCCATGGCTAAAATGAAGGGACGCACTCTAAATACATCAAACACTGCTCAACCTACCAAATATCCAGTCCTGCCATTTTCTGGTTGAAACACACATAAACACAATACACATAAAGTGTATTGAATTATTTTTTGCAGTTACTTGTCAAAAAGCCTGAAGAAGATATCGTTCCAGAAAAAATGTGTTCCTTTGAGATTATACGGTAACCCTGAAAAGTAAACTAATCATGGATGTTTATGATACTCAGTCATTTTATCTTGAACAGAACCCCTGCAGCAGCAGTCCCTGTTTCAACAATGGCACATGTCAGGCTGGATACACTGGTAAAGGATTTCGCTGTGGATGTCCTTTAGGATTTACTGGTCTATACTGTAAGAAAGGTAATCAAATAGAAAACCCTGATGTGGATTCAATACCAAATGTTAATCATTGTCTATTCAGGGTAATGAACTTTTTCTTTTTTTTCAACGCAGCCTGCAGCCTTGACTTTGAAGATGGAATTGGCGGGTGGGAAATGACAGGTAGAGCTTTCATTTACCAGCCTACATTTGGTGACAATCCAGTGTATCGCAGGAGAGAAAGCGCCAATCTGCAAGGGAACTGGTGGATAGGGGGAGCTGAGAAACGGCCCAAAGAGAGCGATCCCGCAGGACTGCAGCATCCAGATGGATCCGACGTACCCAAAGGAACTCTCACCTCACCTTGTTTTCGTATCGTCGGCAAGAATATCTCGTTTCTCATTGGTGGGGGATGTACCGTAACTGAACTTCGTGCGGAGCTTATTGTCAACAACCAGGTTGGAGATTATGTGGCACTTTGACTATTATGTGTCCTTTGATTCTTTTAAAATAGGCTATGTCAATTGATCAAGGTATCAGTAATTTGTACTTTCAAAACTACGAAACCGTTTTGAGCTTCGTGATATCCATAAAGTTCGCTTAGGTTTAAAGTGATATATTTACTGGGAAAATACATTTAAAAAGTAAAATCTAAACATTTTCAACCCTTGGTCATCATCTGCGTAAGTGGTGATGACCCTGATAACAACCTTGTGTCGAAATCGGTTGGTTTTACTTTTGAAATATTTTTTGACTTAGAAATGGCTCATTTTGAACTAACTTAAGGGAGAGTCCGCGAGATAACCAATTTGGCGTTTGGCACTCTATATTTTAATTTTTTAGTCTTTGGCTAACCCTCTTTCGAAATAGCACTTTTCCCCCCAAAATTAAAGCATTGCAAGTAAATTAATGTACGAGATAGTCGTGTGAGATATGTCAGCAATTTTCGAAACAAAGGTTTAAAAACTGTTTATGTTTGTCGTTACGTTTAGGTCGTCAGAAATGAGACAGGAAACTGTGGGGAGACAATGTACCGTAAGGACTGGGACGTAGAGGAGTTTATTGGTCAATACGCGCAAGTCAGAGTTGTAGATGAGACTTCTGGTGGTTATGGTCACATCAACTTTGATGACCTTAAGGGAGATATTATTTGTCCTCACGATTTAGACGAGAACAACTGAAGAGACGGTGGTTTTAAAAACTAAGCTATCAACTCAAGTCACCTTGAAAGTATGGTGAAGCAGCCATTGACGTAGTATAGAACTTGCTTTGTGCTGTTATAGATAGGCACAATCACTGTGTTTTGGTCAACAGTAGAAAAGCATTATGAAACAATTTTATGCAGGTGACTGAGATGGCTCTAATTATACAATACAATCGTTATGTCTCACTGGTCTGCCTCCTGCCAGTGGGGATTTTTAAGCTCTTAGTTACTCTACATTGTGGCTGAAAAGCGCCTAAGGGGGAGCTTCAATTAATGTATATTATGACGCAGTTTATTGGACTTAATCATGCTAGGAAAAGAGAGTTTCATAGGGCGCACAATAAATCGATTAGTCTTCTAATATACAGAACTCAATAATTAGATTTCCCTCAATGTTTAAAAATATCATTTAAATTAATATTCATTCCTGGGAATAAACTTGATTCTTATATAATGTTCTTATAATGCTTAGCCTTTTAAAAGTTTCTTTTGTAGTTTTACTGTTCATGTTATGATCTTAAAAGTCCTTGCAATGTTCAACGTACTTGACACTACAAACTTAAAACTAACATTCGATAAAATACTTGCTTCGAGACACTAGCTTGCCTTTTTGATCCAGCGACAAATGCAGGTTAATGTTAATTAACTTTTAAACTGCGTTTAGTGCTCAAGCTCGGCTTGATTTCAGTACAAACACTAAATCTTGCGGGCGCCAAAATATAGCGTCCGACCTACTTGCCGCTATATTGTTATCATGATTAGACTCACCCTATGCAGGTGTTACTGGTTTTCTAAATCCGTTAATAATAATTGGTGAAAATTATCGCACAGATATTTTTTTCCTAATTTAGTCCAAGTGCCTATATGTTCTAGAATTAACAGTCGGTTTCGAATCTAACCTGAACAACAATGCAGTACGTAAAAAAGAAAAATATCGGAACTTGATTAACGGAATGGGTAGAACTTTCAGATGTGTGAAACTTGTAAATCTCTCCATGAGCTCCATTGGCGTATTCTCAGATGAATGCTCTACGTTCTTAGACATAGGCATTGACAAAAGCAGCAACTCGACAAAAAGCAGCAACTCTACAAAATCAAGAGAATGATGAATATAGTTATTAGAGCAACATATTACGTCGTTTGTTGTAGAAATAGGAATGACATGCGCAGATGATAATTTTTTTCGCTGGATTCATATTTGCGCAATGCAAATCAATAAATACTATTATTAGTAGTATTATTATTACTATTATTATTATTATTATTAGGAATTGAGACAACCCAGATTTAATATAATTTTGATTTTTGTGTGTGTTGAATAAACCAATCTCAAGAAGCATTTGTAAATTGCCTATACGTTGTGAGATTTACAATTGTACATTTAAAAACACAAATAAAGTTTCCATTATTATTATTACTATTATTATTTTGATCGGTTTACTGCTATGATGAGGATAGTCGATTACTTTAGATGCTAGCAATCGCGTCATGTTTACTTTTCTTAAAATTTGCTTTGCAAAATCCATATTTGTAAATATTCTTAGTAGATTCTCTTCAGGATTAGACGTTGAAGCCATTTTTTAGTAATTGTATCCAAACCAGGTTTCAAAATAGTGGAATAATGATGCTATATTTGACTCTTGCAATGCTTAATCTTCGGTTATTATACAGAAGCACTTTAAAATTTATTAATACATATTATTTAGTAACAAACTCTCTCTCTTAAAGAGATATCCAATAACTCTCTTTTGATGTCAATATCATTTTACGTTGCGGACAAAATAGTTTGGTTTTAACCTTCAAATACCAAATTCAAATTTGCAATTTCAGTGTTCTTCAGAAATGCTTATTCTGAACTTGTGAACACAGTGTCTGTTGTTAGAGAGAGAAAGTTAATTAGAAAAGAGAAAATCACACACGACACCATTCACAAATTAAACTTAATTTGTTTTCATTCGTAAAGTAATCCATCAGTAATTTTCCTTCTGCCTCGTGTTAGCAACCATTTTTTCATGAGTTCGAATTATGAAATTCTCATATTTGTAATCTGAATTCCGCCTGTTCTTAAAGTAGCTCTATATTTAGGTTTCTACGTGTGCACGCCATTTGAATGCGATTATTTCAAATTGCGAAGCTCATTTTCGATCTTTTTAAAGACTTAAAAACTTTTTTAAAGTTTTAAAATAGCTATCTACTGCCCAATCAGAGGAATTCAGAAACAACCTCTGGAAGAGGTCTTAGCGCCATCGAAATGTTGCTTCGGGATACCTGGGGGGGGCAGATATTGGGCATGTACCGATTGTGCTCGTAAAATGCTGGAAAGTTGCTTAATGGAATTCTTTTAAAAACGTTGCCAAAAATTGCTAAAATCCAAAAGCTGCTATCTAACCATCGGGTGGTGGTTAGAATAAAAAACGCCGCAAAAGGCTGAGTTTTTATACATCTTTAAAGGTAAGGGACCTTACTTGTCCTGAAGCCATAAAAATAGTTAAATTTCACGACAATCTCTGGACAGCAATGGCGCGAATAGTTAAACATGTTAAAAACAGACAAAAAATCGGAGGAAAACCTGACGTAAAAGTCGCCTCTCGTAGTTTGTGACACACTTATCTCGTTACCAGAAATTGTTTGTTTGTTTGACGTTGCTTCCACAGAACATTCCCAATTTTTCATACAATGCGACAGCGAGACAAAAAAATGTGTGCACCTTAGTGCCAATCGTTTTTCAATTGCGTAGGAAAATGAAATTTGATTTTCATTTTCTTACGCAATTGAAAAACGGTTGGCACTAAGGTACACGCATGCAACAAGCTCGTGTCAAAGTGCCCTCAGATCCATCTTTCATTTTGTCTTAACTCATCTATGCCTGCTTTCTTTACAAACGTATACTGTATACCTATCATTCTTACAGGAAGCATGCTGTGGCCAAATTTTTGTCTCTGCATCCTGGCTTTTTTCATGGACTGCGTATCTGCTCATTATCAGTGCAGGAGGGAGATCAACATTCAAGGCGTGAGACTTGGAGAGTTTTGTCGCTTTTAATGATTCTTTCTAATAGGATTGACTCAAAAGGGGATGGAAATTAATTGCTTTCCTCTTTGACCGGTAACTTGCCTCTGATTCTCACAACTTGATTGAGCGCACATTCAAAATCTAACCGGTAACATCACAGAGATACCTGCCAAGACAAGTTCTTTCTTCGGTGAAAAACTAACAAGCAGAATTTCAGTCTCCTGGATACCGTGTCAGGGAAAACTTTAAGAGTTCAAAACGGCAGCAACAAACCATTATCCAGTGTCTCTCGAGGAAAATTAATTTCTTAAGGATATTACCCTGCCATTAACTTATTCTAAACCAAAACTGTGCATGAACTTGTTTTGTTATTTGCAAACAAATTAGGTGAAGAATGCCGATCCACTATTTTCAAAGAACCCATACCGGACAGAGTCTTGAAAGGCCATTTAATCAGGCTTGTGGAGGTGCTCCATCAAGGCAGTTGTAATGTGCTGTGTTATATGGAACCCAATTGTGTGTCCATAAATTTTGGGCCTTCACAAGGGGGGAACTACATTTGTGAGTTGAACAACGCTTTAGACGAAAGTCCAGGCGCGTCCAACCTTCAGAGTAAACAAGATTACACCCATCTCAGTATCGAGGTAAAGTGACATATTTTAGACGACGAACAATTATTCTGAGCGATCAGTTTGACAGATTACCTCTTAAACTACTCTTGCAATTCTTCTATTGAATTGAAATGATTCCTTAGTACTGCATTGTGTATCCCGAGGAACGTTTTGACTTGATTTAGATGGTATGAAACTGAGAAATATTTCCATATATTACACTGTTACAAACATTAGAGACTTTTTACTTATCTATAAAATGATGTGTTTTTTTCAACTGTTACTTTATAAAATTATCGAGAAATACGTTGTGAAACTATGAAATAACCCACGTGATTGGTACAAGTCTGGGCATAAATAGGGCAAGATTGGCCCATCTATCTCTTTGGTGACCTTTCCTTTGTATGGTGGTTCTAGAAACAGAGATTGGTGGAGACCTTTCAGAGAAAATTTCAATAAAAAAATCCTTCCACAACTTTTATTTACCTATGAGGAGTCACCTGAAGGGAGAATACCAAAACCAAGATACACCAGTTGTGTCATCTCTACAATGCTAATAAAATGAAACAACAAGATACCCGTGGTTAGAATAAAGGGACCCATTCAAAATCGAGTACCGCGATTGATATATCTTGCTGGTTTAATGACTGATAAAGTGTAATTAATTCTTGTCTTCTCTTAATTTATAAAAAAAGCCTCATCGTTCCAGCAAGAATGGGCTCATTTGAGATTACATGATAACCAGGAAAAGTAAACTAAACTATGATTTTGTCTTCAACATTTTTCCCCTAAGTTTAAAGCATTAAAAGTGAATTAATGTATGATATAGTCATGTTAGATATGTTAGCAATCGTAGAAATAAAGGTTTAAAAGCTGTTTATGTCTGTCGTTACGTTTAGGTCGTTAGAAGGGAGACAGGAAACTGTCGGGAGAATATGTACCTTAAGAGCTGGGACGTAGAGGAGTTTATTGGTCAATACGCGCAAGTCAGACTTGTAGATGAGAAGAGCTTTTGTTGGGGTCACATCAACTTTGATGACCTCAAAGGAGATATCATTTGTCCTCATGATTTAGACGAGAAAAATGGAAGAGACAGTGGCTTTAAAAACTAACTTAGCAACTAAAGTCACCTTGAAATTATGGCGAAACAGCTTTTGACGCAGTATAGTATTTTCTTTGTGCTAGCATAAATGGGCACAATCCCTGTGTTTTTCGTCAACGGTATAAAAGCGTTATGAAATAATTTTATGCACGTTATATCGCTTGCGATGATGAGGATAGTCTATTGCTTTAGATGCTAGCAATCGTGTCATATTTACTTTTCTTAATATTTTCTTCACAAAATCCATATCTTAAAAA